ATATTTCCAATTTATTAGTTTCAATTTTAAATTCAGGAGAACACAAATTCAAATTTAAGAGAAAACGTTTTAAGAAGAAATATCAATGGCAAAACATTTAATTACAGCTTTTATCTTTATGATCAGTTAGTGAAATGTAAAAGAAAATAAATTGTTTTAGGAAACAAAATGGATGCATTTACAAGAACACAAATTAATAAAAGTCAATAGTCAAAAAGAATTGAAACAAATTTTGAGCTTTAGTCTATTTTTTGTATTTTAAAATATGAAATATATTGCGATAAAACTTTTTTTAAAATTAATCCTTTAAACGATTGTCCTCAGTTTGTCTTTAAGTCAGTGTTCTGTGGTTTTTAAAAAGCTACATGAAATATTTAAAAATCATCACTGAATATAATGTATAATCTAAATTATTTGCATTATTTTGCTAGACAGTATTTTTGAGCAATTCCAGTTATTTCCTCACTCCTAAAATACTTTTAATTGATCGGAGACTTGTGTTATTTATATATATTACCAATCATAAGTATTACATTTATTTATGACAAGAAACTGCAGTTCCTTAAATAGTATCCACTGAGTTCTAGACACTTTGCTCAGTAACTGTGTTTTATTGCAATGTGGATGCTTTCAGAACATACTGATTAGATTATAAATCAAATTACATCCTCTAAACAGGTGGTTCTGCTTGAGAAAAACAACAAAAACATCTGCAGTGACATAAAGAACAAAAAAGTAAAAATGTCATAATAAACTGACAAACAGCCGTCCGATTGTCCCTTTTTTGTCGGTCTTTATTTTCCTGCTGCTGTTGTACATTTTTCATACAGTAGTGAACTTGTATATGTAATTCACAAATTTGTACAAGTAATGCAGACATTTTACCTAAAACAAAAAAACCAAATGAAATAAACAAACAGCTACAGTCATGTTAATAGAAATGCATTTTTCACTCTTTCACACTGAAACAACTGATTTACTTAAAAAAGAAAAAAGAAGAATAAAAAGAGCCTCTATTACATCAATGAAGCCACCATTATCATCACATGTCACTGCAGGGTGGAACATTTATTGCTTGATAAATAAAGATGTTACATCTTATGATACCAAAGCTCCTATTCACTACGCTAACTATTAAAACGGAGTTGTACTGTATCAGAGTTATTCTTTACAAGCGTTACTCCATCAAACAAAAGGAAGCTGTAATAGAAAAAACAAACAAACAAAAAACTGCCGCCACGACATCCACATCGGAGAAAATGTTGTGTGAGGTTAGAGGACTTTAAAGGTACTTTTTGTAAAAAAAGAAAAAGAAACAAAAAGTGTAATGCAAACGTTCACCACCAGGAGGTGGTGTTTCACCAGGAAGCACAGTTATCCGCCCCAAACAGCGCCACCTTCTTCTGTGTAAGTTTAAAATAATATCTGATCAGACCTCTAGCTTATCTAAAGTTTCTGTTCGCTTTATAAAAACACTACAGTCTTTTAGCTACCAAACGAGCCAGGTCAGTGTGACAGAGAGGACACTATACTGACTCACTGCTCCACCTTGTGGTCCAAAGTGGTATTACAGGAGTACAGCTCAGCCTTGCTTTAGCTGACATCTCTGCCACAAAATACAAAGATGTTGATTTCCATCCGTCTGTGTATCCAGATCATGGTTGTGGGGTCTGCAGTCTAAGGAGACCTTCCTCTTCCAGCCACTTAATCCAGCAGACAGTCCTGAAACACCTCGCTAAAGGAGGAAGCTGAACTACCTAAACTGACTCCTCCTACCCTGAGCTAATCGCCCTCTCTCTAATGGAGATCCCAGAAATCCACAGGAGGAAACTCCTTTTTTCATTGCTGCTTATACCCTTGAAATCATTCTTCTGGTCAGATATACAACAATTCACGCTCACAGTAACCCAACACGCTCGTCTTTGGACTTTTAAATCATCTTCACACAACTGGCTGTTTTTACAAAAAGCACCTTTAAGCGGTTTGAAGCAGGTCAGTCGCTGTGAATCAAAGCTTCACTTTCTACAGTAGAAGAAAATGTAGAATCAGTTTCTTTTTTCACACACTTCACCATTAAGCTGGGAAGTGAAACAAGGAACTTGGATCAGAACGTTGGACATTTGAACAACGGTAAATTGTACAGATCTGCTGATTGGGCTTTTTCCCCCCTCCCTTCCCTCCTGATTCTGACATCTGCTGATTGAAAAGACAGCACAAGTAATCAAACTGGTTATCTTTATGTGTACAGCTGGTTAATGCTGGGAGAAAACTGGTTACATCTGGTAAACCCAAACAGTGGATTTTACAGAAAGAATGTAGTTTAACTGTGACTCCAACGAACAGTTAGCAGGTCATTCAAAGTGAAACAGGTTTAAGCACAACAGCATGAAATCATCAGTGCTGATCATGACGTCACTGCTGAACACAAAGAGAGAATCTTATTGGGATTCTTCAGGTTATAATAATTTGATTCTGCCTTTTATTGCCGCTCTTTCCTCCTCTCTGCCAAGGAAACAAAAATCTTCATTAGAAAAATAACTGATCTGTTTTTAGCCTCTTTCAGATCTCCATCACACTCCTTTTTTTCCTCAAGCTCAAGACTGGCGTCACACAACAGTATCGGCCACTGACACGGTTAAACTGCATTTTGTTTGCCATATTACCCGTGTTCTCCTTGAGGAGCTGTAAATCGTCCTGCTGGATCATGAATTTCATTTCACTTCTACTAAAAATATGGGCATTTTTAAAAGGATGACTGGGTCAGGTTTTATTCTTATAGTTTTGACCAGTAAACCAACTCAACTGAAGCCACGCTGCTTCTTTAAGGGTTTATGTTTTGGGAGGAGGAGGAGGGGGGTTTATAGCTTCATTTGATGCTTTTTGCATCAGTGTTAATTTGGTGGAAACACTCGTCTGTAAATATGTTAGAATCTAAGTGATTTTGATAATAAACCAAAATACAGACTATGAGCTGTGAATCTGATCGTCTGTTTCTCATACGTCACAACTTAAAAAAAAAAAAATACTGGAAAGTTTTTTTATTATTGCAAAATATTAAATGTGTGCACGCCGGCGAATCATTATTCTGGTTTTTCCACGTACAAATTGTGGAAACCACATCACATGTTTCTAGTTTCAGCCTCTGAAATGCAGAACTTGGTGCTTTTCTCCATTTTAACTCACAGAGAGCTGAAAGTCTTTGGGTTTTGGGAAGTATGGAAAACAAAAAAAGACTTCTGAGGATTCTGCTTGAGACTTTTTTTGACAAATAATAATCACATAATGAGATTAATTTATCTAAAAAGTCTGAAAACGCTCCCATCACTGTCTGTCTGTCCTACTGGATTTAACTGAATGTGGCGACACAAAGTTTGGATTATATTTTGCCGTCCGTCGTCCAAAATATTTTGTCTAACCTTGATGTTTGTTTCTAACTCAACTGCTCGCATTTCCTGTTTGTAAAACAGGTTGAAATGATGGTCAAAACTATGAAAATAAAGCCCGAGTTGGACCAAATTGTCTTTGTATTGTAGATTATCTTTACAAATGTTGATTTTTTTATCCTGAACATGAGCACTGACTTTAAGCCAATCAGCGAGTGACTGTTTAAAACTGAAGTTTAGTTCTGATCAGTGTTACTCAGGCCTCACTGCTGGGGGGGCATGTTGTCCATGTTGTCCACCGTCTTGATGATGACAATCTGCTCCAGCGTCTGTGCGGGCGAAGGCGGCGGCCGCAGCTGCTCCACCAGCGCGTGCAGCGTGTCCGAGTTGATGGTCTGCTCCTGATCGGCGTCGAAGGTCACCTGCTCTGTGGTGGTGAGAGGGGTGTGCGTGGGCTCCGCCTTGAAGTCCTGGATGATGGCGGCGGCGTCCGTGACGCTGTCAGCGGTCACGCTGGCGGTGGTTGCAGCAGAGTCAGTGGTGGCGACGTCGGAGGCAGCCGCGGCGGGGTCGGTGGCTTTGGGGTTGGGAGTGGCCGGTTCAGGGTTGGCCGGCTCGCCCTCGGGGATGGAGCCCAAACCTTTGTTCTCCTGGGAGAGCTTGCTCTGGACGAAGGCCACGGGATGGCTGGTGGACAGCAGGACCACTGCTCAAACACACAAAACCCAGTCAGACAGCCAGAAGACAACATGGAAACAACACAGTTTTACTGCCTGTTCTTTAAAAGGCCCCCAAGCAGAATTGGGAGCTTTGCTGTTGTGCCTTTAAGGCAGCAGCAGCACTGCACACTTGTTAAAGGCAGATCCAACACTCCCATGTTAAGCCTGATTTATAGTCCTGGCTCACAACACTGTTTGACTTTGAGCTTGTGCTCTGGTGTGTCTGTTTTACTTTGCCATCACCAGTGGACTGGGCTTTGAGTTAATAAATCTGGAACACCCACTTAAAAAAAAAAAAAAAAAACAATCAATCAATAATACTATCCCATTCTCACTGGGATCACAGCTCGACCTCAAACTCTCCACTGACTCTACATACTGAAGTCTGCCACGTTGGTTTAAAGATGGAGAATAACCCCACATATCTGAAGCGTACAGGCACAGAGATGTAAAATCTCCAGAAACTGGCGCCTTTAATGTGTTGACTTGGTCAGCAACCCCCCGCCCCCCAAAAAAGACACTGAATTCACTTCCTCTATTAGGCACTTCCTCTGTTGCCAGAGAGGAAGTTTCTGCTGCTGGTCTAAGTGGTGCCTCTGCAGGTAGCCTGCACACTGCAGACAATGGGATGCTTACATGCTGCAGCATCCTGCTTTATTGCACAGGCCATGGAAACTTCAAAAAGCTAATGCGAACCAGGATACTGATGCACATGTAAACACAAAGATGGGCTTCCAGCCTCAGGGCTGAATCATGCAGTGACACTGAGGGGTGGTTTTTCTGACTGAAGCTGCAAAAACATCAACACGTCCCAAAACACTTTCAGGGTTCTTATTCAATTAAACTTTAACAGCACTTTAAGACACGGTGGATTTTAATAAACAGGCTGACAGCTCACCGGCTCGGGCTCTCTCCTTGTGTTGCCGCACTTCGTCGGCGTGAGCTTTGTCCTGGTGTTTGATCATGTTCTTCACGCTGGCAAATCTGTTTCCACAGAGCAGGCACTGCACGCCGCTGTTCCCCTCTGCAAACACCACGAGAACACATTTAAATACTGCAGCCAATCGGTTTCTGGCTCTCTGTTTATACCCTGATTGGTCAGAAACCGTGTGGAGCTGAGAGCTTGCTCTTTATAACTCACTTCATTATCTCTTCCACACCCGTTTGAGGCACATTTTTAAAATAGTTTCATTATGTCAATAAAGCACATTTTAGGTTATGAGCTCTCCTGAAAGACAGCCGCAGTTAGCAGTAGGATCCTGGTGTGATACTGCTGACTTTCAGTCCCATCTAACCACTCTTTAAATGTTTGGCGTAACAAACAAAGCTTTAAACTCACCTGGGTGAAGTCGCCGCATGTGTTTCTTCAGTTCAGATGATGTGACAAATTTGGCGTCGCATTTAGGCTGCGAACATTTGTACGGAGTCTCGCCTGAAACGCACAGAAATACAGAAAAATGCCTGTAAAGTCTATTTGCCCAGTGCGGCAGGAAACCAGAGCAGCGCATCCTTTCATTTGCACGTCTCTCACCAGTGTGTTTACGTGTGTGGGCAATGAGAGAGGAAGACACAGAGAAAGACATGCCACACAGGTCGCACTGGTACGGTTTCTCCCCAGTGTGTCGTCGCTTGTGGTACGTCAGCGTGCTGGACTGAGCGAACGCCTGGCCGCAGATGTCACAGACGTACGGTTTCTCCCCGCTGTGCAGTCTGTGGGAAACGTGTTAAAATTTAACTTTATTTATAGAACAACAACTCAAAACAACAAGTGCTTAAAAAAGTCACAGGTGAGAAGCAAATAACCACCTACACACGTGTGCCACCCAGCAACCACATTTTTCTTCAGTGGCCCTCAGACCAGCAGAACTGTTACTATAGAAACGACTGGGTAGTTTAACCTACAATAGGTTAATGTTATTAGTTCTGCCACTCGTAAACACCCTCGTGTGTGCGAGAGCAAAATAAAGATCTTTAACTAGCTCCTCGGTGGAAGCAGAGCAGCAGCTGAATCGTTACGTCAGTCATATGTAATAAAAGGTGGGTTGCATGCAGATACGCAGGCTCTTGGCCCTCCTGGCCTCAGCTCCTTCCACACTGACGTACCTGATGTGTATTTTATAATTGGACGAGGTAGCAAACTTGAAGCCGCAGCGCTCACAGGTGTACGGCTTCTCCTCGCCGTGGTGCATTCGGCGGTGAGCGACCAGCTGGCACTTCTGAGCGAAACACTTGTCACAATCGGCACAATTGAACGGCTTCTCGCCTGCAACAGAGAAACAAGGAGGACGCTTGTTATACGTGTGTTACATTATCACTGCCAGCTGATGGGTTAAAAGGTTTTCCACTTATCTGGTGACAGACACCGGTCTTCACATCCACGTTGCACATACTTTCATTTTAACTCAAAGGTTTGCTGAGTGATACGATGCATTTCTGTTCCAAACTTAAACTCATGCTTGTGCTCAACATCCTATGTTTGTCTTCCTGCTTCCGGAGCTTGTTTTTGCAGCTCAGGAAGCAGAAACTATGGGACAGCTCTGTGACACAGAGGGAGGATTCTGCTGCAGAGGATGTGCAAACGTCTTACGCATTTAAATGTCACAGAAAAGCACCGGAGCGCCAGTTTGACACGTTTAATACGTGTAAGAAACTTTTCTTCTGTTTATCAAGCTGATTTCAACCAAAGTTTTCACTGAAATGATGAATAAAACCAGCACACAGGCATCCACACTCGAAGTCAGGTGACAGGAAATTACAGAGAATTGATTAGAAACAATGCAGTAGGGTTACAGACTGTATATAAATGATGGAAGAAGTCCTGTTTTTAAAACAATAAACATGACATGACATGATATCGTACTGTGTATGACTGTGTACGTGACAAATAAAATTTGAATTTGATTTGAATTTGATGACTCTGTTGGAAGTAAGACTACAAAGTAGCATCTGAGCCCAGAAACTAATGGTGTCTGAAAGCAGTGACTGAGGTTTTGTTTTATTTTGCAAAGAAACAAACAAAACCAAAACAAAAAACCTTTAGCTGATTAGGGGTTAAAGTTAATGAGATTCAAATCAAAGTAACCGAAGTTTGATTCTGACTAAGAACCTTGCAGGTGGATTTTCCTGTCTTTACACACTTAATTATAAATGAAAAGGTGTGTAGCAGCCTCACATCTTCACAAACCCAGTACCAAAAACACGTGACACTCAGTGCTGAGCTCACCTGTGTGTATGCGCAGGTGTGTTTTCAGCTGCGTGGCCTGCCTGAAGGTTTTGGAGCAGAAGATGCAGGCGAACGGCTTCAGCCCCTTGTGGATCTTCTCGTGGCGGCGCAGGCTGCTCACGTCTTTAAACAGTTTGTTGCACTCTGTGCACGACAGCGACATCTCGCCCAGAGCCAGCGCATCCATCTCCCCGATCTCTCCCTCTTCCACTCCCTCCCCCGCCTCCTCCTCCTCTGTGCCTCCGCCAATGCTGTCATCCCCCGCCTCCTCCTCCTCCTCCTC